AGTAGAGACGGGGTTTCACCATGTTGACCAGAATGGTCTCGATCTCTCGACCTCGTGATCCACCTGCCTCGGCCTCCCAAAGTGCTGGGATTACAGGCTTGAGCCACCGCGCCCGGCCCCATTTGTAATCTCTAAACTAGCAGTTTCAGTAGCTGTGCTGTTCATCTTTCCATCACTGGTAGTCGGAGAGTGCTCTACCTCCCAGAGGAAGGAGGATTGTTTGTTGTAAATTAAAGACTCATTGTTCAAAGCTCCTGGAATTGTCAGTTTAAGGGACCTGAGGCAAAGAGCATTGTCGTTTTTAAGAGTTATTTTGTATATCACATTGATGTGCAGTTCAATATTTAAATGTCAGGAAATGACTCCTAAACTCTATTTGTTTACAAAACCCTAGTTCTCATTTAAGCCCACTCCTTCATCAACAAATAATGATTTTCTACTTTTTGCCTGGTTCTGTCTAGGAGAGTAGTTCTTAAACAATAACATTCAAATCACCTGGTTTCAATGGGGGACTGTCAGGAAAAAAACAAAAATCACAGGGAGAAATTTAAAACACAGATTCCCGGTCCCTCCCACCAAAGATTCCTACTCAGTGGTGAAGCCTGTCAATCAGCATCTCTAACAAGCTCTCAGGTGGTGCTGAGGATGCTGGTGAATGAACCATACATACTCTTCTTGGGCTACAGATAAGACAATAAATAAAACAGGCAAAAAATAAAAATAAGCTGTGCTCGGTGGCTCACACCTGTAATCCCAGCACTTCGAGAGGCCGAGGTGGGTGAATCACCTGAGGTCAGGAGTTTGAGACCCGCCTCACCAACATGGCGAACCCTGTCTCTACTAAAAACACAAAAAAATTAGCCAGGCATGGTGGTGTGTGCCTGTAATCCCAGCTACTTGGGAGGCTGAGGCAGGAGAATTGCTTTAACCCGGGAGGCAGAGATTGCACCATTGCACTCTAGCCTGGGCAACAAGAGCGAAACTCTATCTTAACAAACAACAAAAAATTCCTCTCACAGATCTTACATTCTAGTGGTAGTAGGGAGATAAATCAGATACAAAGGTAGGCAGATAGGTAGGTAGGTAGGTAGGTAGATAGACAGACAGACAGACAGACAGATAGACAGATAGACCATATATTACCTGTGTCAATTGGACAAAGGATATATTCACATTTGGCATGTGTCAACCCAAGCTGCACCTGATCTGAGCTTTTCTTTTTCTTTTTTTTTTTTAGAGAGAGTCTTGCTCTGTCACCAAGGCTGGAGTGCAGTGGGGCAATCTCGGCTCACTGCAACCTCCACCTCCTGGGCTCAAGCAATTCTCCTGCCTCAGCCTCCCAGCAACAGGAATTACAGGCGCCTGCAACCACGAGCAGCTGATTTTTGTATTGTTAGTAGGGATGGGGTTTCACCATGTTTGCCAGCCTGGTCTCCAACTCCTGACCGTGTGATCCACCCACCTCGGCCTCCCAAACTGCTGAGACTACAGGTGTGAGCCCCCACTTGCCCTTTTCTAATTATCTTCAAGGCTGCCTATTGCCCTATCCAAATCCTATTACTTGAATTATTTAAACAATCTCCCATTTTGGTTTTGGTCAGCTCCTTTACTGTACCCTGTTTTATCAGCAAGGCCTTTTTTTTTTTTTTTCTTTGAGACGGAGTTTCACTCTTGTTACCCAGGTTGGAGTGCAATGGCGCGATCTCGGCTCACCGCAACCTCCGCCTCCTGGGTTCAGGCAATTCTCCTGCCTCAGCCTCCTGAGTAGCTGGGATTACAGGCACGTGCCACCATGCCCAGCTCATTTTTTGTATTTTTAGTAGAGACGGGGTTTCACCATGTTGACCAGGATGGTCTCGATCTCTTGACCTCGTGATTCACCCGCCTCGGCCTCCCAAAGTGCTGGGATTACAGGCGTGAGCCACCGCGCCCGGCCAGCAAGACCTTTATGACCTGTATTTCGTGCTGACCTCCCATCTCATCCTGTGACTTCCCATGCCTTGGCTGTCTGGGAATGCAGCCCAGTACGTTTCATCCTCATTTTACCCAGCTCCTGTTTAAGACGGAGCTGTTCTGGTTCACATGTCTGATGGGAAGATCCTCACTGAGTGTCAGTTGCTGTGTTCTCTCCCTTAACTCCCTCCTGTTACACCCCTGCCTTTAAGTCCTGTTAAACATTTTGGAACCCATCATTTTCTCTCATGCCTTTACCCAAACTGTTCATTTTCTGGAATTCCCTTCACTCCACATTTTTCCTTCTTAGATCACTGACGACTGTCCAGTCCTCCCTGCCCATCCCTCCTCGACCCCAACCTCCATTATTTCTACTCTCTTAGCATCCAGTGCATTTTTTCAGTACTTACTATACAACATTATCATTATAATTAACATTATAATTTTCTTTTTCAACTATTTGACCTACTCTACTAAATTGTTAGCACTTTTTTTTTTTTTTTTTTTTAGCGACAGGGTTTTTCCATGTTGGTCAGGCTGGTCTCAAACTCCTGACCTCAGGTGATCTGTCCACCTTGGCCTCCCAAAGTGCTGGGATTACAGATGTGAGCCACCTGACCCGGCCATCATTTTTTTTTTTTTTTTGAGACAGGGTCTCATTCTGCTGCTCAGGCCGGAGTGCAGTGGCCCAATCTGGGCGGGCTCACTGCAACTTCCGCCTCCCGGGTTCAAGTGATTCTCCTGTCTCAGCCTCCCTAGTAGCTGGGATTACAGGCATGCGCCACGACACCCAGTTAATTTTTGAATTTTTAGTCGAGACAGAGTTTCAGCATGTTGGCCACGCTGGTCTTGAACTCCTGATCCACCCACCTTGGGCCTCGTGAATTGTCGGGATTACAGGAGTGAGCCACCGTGCCTGGCCTATTAGCTCATTTTAACACCTTTTTACGATAGCCTGTTCCAAAAAATCCAAAATCAGACAGCTTCCTAAACCTCAACTTTATTCAAATTGCTTTCCTTGGCGAAGAATGTAGTAAGTCAGCCTTCCAGCCACCAGCCCCCTTCCCTCTGGTCTTTCGCTCCGGAGGCGCTTACCCTAGACACAATGGGACAGAAGGTGGGGGGTGGGGGAATTCTGATCAGGCTTTTATGCAAAAACCCCCTTCTGCAAAGAACAAAATTTCTGGTACCTGCCCTTTCCAGAGCTGCGGGCAAACTCAGCCTTGGTGACTCTTGGTGGCCTTGACAATCCCCACTTACCAAACTGTGCTGATTAAGAATGAATGGAAGGAAAGTTTTTCCCTTTTTTTTAAACAAAGCTTCCTATTTCTAACAAGACACAGACTATCTGTCTGAAGCAGGGTGCAGACCCCAGAGGCAGAGTGCAGAGGAGAAAGGGTCAGAGTTGTGTCTTCAGAACTTACCTAATCGGAATTTGCTTAAGAGTTTACTTTTCAGGGTGGGGGATTGGAAGAGAGGAAGAAATTTTAGGTTTCTTCAATGCTGGGTTTGGGAACAGGAAGGAAAATCGAAAACTGCAGACGTTGTCCACAAACGTTCGTGCTGGAACCCCACTCTAAAAACTTTGTTCCTTTAGAAACCATACCTCCTTTCATCCGGCGAAAGCAAAGCAAAGCAAAACCCAGACACAGGATGAGCATGGAGTAGTTCTGAAAGACGTGACGGTATCACCAGACCCGAGAAGCAGCTAAGCAGCCAGAGGAGAAAAGCCAGAAGCCGACTGCCTGGGAGGAGGGAGACGCAGGAGACCAAACTGAAGGGAACTAAGGTGGGGGCTGAAAGCGAGGACCATTTTGAACATTAACTGATGCCTGTGTTGTTTTTTACTGTGACCTCAGTGAATCAAACAAGAAAATGGAGCTAGTTGACATTTCTGCCCAAACTAGACAGACTTTGAGACACCAAGTTATCTCAAATCAAGAAATCTCCCCAATGAGAATTTCAATGACCTTAGAAATTGAAGGTGCACTCACCCTTTTTTTTTTTTTCTTTTGAGACATAGTCCTGCTCTGTCGCCCAGGCTGGAGTATAGTGGCACAGTGTAGGCTCACCTCAGCCTCTGCCTCCCGGGTTCAAGGGATTCTCCTGCCTCAACCTCCCAAGTAGCTTTGACTACAGGCGCCCCCTCACCATGCCCGGCTAATTTTCGTATGTACATATATATGTGTGTGTCTATATATATATATATATATATCTGTATATATATGTATGTATATATAGATATGATTTTTTTTTTGACTCGGAGTCCTGCTCTGTTGCTGGGCTAGTGCAGTGGCGCGATCTCGGCTCACTGCGACCTCTCCCTTCCGGGTTCAAGCGATTCTCCTGCCTCAGTCTACCGAATAGCTGGGACAACAGGCGCCCCCCCCCACCCCACCAGTCCGGCTACTTCTGTGTATTTACTAGAGACGGGGTTCCACCGTGTTGACCAGGATGGTCTTGACCTGTGACCTCGTAATCCGCCTGCCTCGACCTTCCAAAGTGTTGGGATTACAGGCGTGAGCAACTGCGCCCGGCCTTTTTATTTTTTAAATATTAAAGTTTTATCCCGTTCCTGTTGAACCATTCCTCATTTAAAAGGTTGAAACGTGGTGAGCCTAGAAGTGTTTATTGCTGGGTTTGCCTTCAGGGCCCCCTCTGCCCGGTTTTCCAGCTCCCCCGCTAGTCTGGGTTACAGGCCATTATTTTTGCATTACAATGGCCTTGGTGAGACTGGCAGACGGGATTAATTGAGAATTCACAAGGGTGGGTCGGAGGGGGGTGTGCCCGCCAGGAGGGGTGGGTCTAAGGTGATAGAGTCTTCATTATAAATCTAGAGCCTCCAGGATGTTAACGTTTTGCTGGACTCAGCTGGTTGCCTCCAGTTCCTGTGGAGGCGACTCACTTCATTCCAACTTCCTGATACTTTGCTTCTGGAGGTCACATTTCTCTAAAATCTTCCAGAAAAAAGTCTTAAGGCTGCCTTAGCCTTTTTTCCAGTCCAGGTCTTAAATTTTTTCCTCCTCTTCCCCAATAATAACGTGAGCATGGATCCAGTTTGTTCACAAAGCCTGCCTTGCTCCGAAGCATCCGAATGTGGAGAATCTTCACCTGCGCCTGTGATCTGTGAGCCTGAAGAAACTTATCCATCCTTGCAAATGTGTTCTGCTGAGATGCCTCACACAGAGACTGGTAAGAAACAAACTTACCTCTTTTTTTTTTTCCCCCAATAGAGATGGGGTTTTGCCATGTTGGCCAGGCTGATCTCGAACTCCTGACCTCAGGTGATCATGCACCTCAGCCTCCCAAAGTGCTAAGTTCTAGGATTGCAGGGTGAGCCACCCCGCCTGGTGGAAACAAATTTATCCTTGAAAGGCCAAGTTCCTTAAGGGAAAAGGGAAGGGGAGGATTAAGAGATCATTTCCCTCTTGAGCAATGATACCCATCACTAATAAGCAAATGATATTATCAACCAGTCCTCTGGAAACCCCCCTTTCGATTGTAACTTGGTGACACCTGCCCTTTCAACTATGTCCCAGGTCTCAGGAGTGTGCACTGAGTTGAAGACAGAATTAGGCAGCTGAGCAGTGTACCGTAACTATGAGAACCTATGGGCTTAGGCACGGTGGAAACAAAAATGTATCGTATAGTTAAATGAGGGTGATGTGCACATCTTCACATAGCACTGGGCACACAGTTATAGCAGATGTTATTGCTAATTGACCAGAAGACCTGATATCACAGCTCCGGGATGAGCATCATGTTTTTGTTTTGCCAAAAACGGCAAGGGAAATCATGATGAGATTTATGTAATTAATATATTTATGTAATTACATTCTTTCCGTGTCAGTAATGGCTGGCTCTCCTCTATTCTCTGGGTTTGTGGAAGTTACTGGACAGCTCTGGGTTTGGGAGCACTTCCCAATGTTTATTCCTCCTAAGTCCCTGCGAAGTGTGGACCCAACTTTCTGGTAAAGATTAATTCCAGAAAGTTTAATCTACTGACACTCAAATAGGACTTAGCTAGAAGTCCAATTTGACTTCAAGACCTGTGCTCGTACTCATGCTTCTGACGGTAGCAGCAATGGGTGAGGAATACTCATAAAACCGCTACCACTTTCTTGAAAATCAAATTTTCAGAGGTTTTAATAAATTTAAAAGTGAATCAACTTCACCAAGAATGCGTTTGGTAACACTGATGCTATAAAATAGCTTAAAAATTGGTGGGCGGGGGGTGTTGCGCTAAAAAAAAAAAAAAACAGCTTCAAAACTGCATTTACATTATGAATTCAGTTGTAAAGAGTAGATTGTGGGAGAGGAATAAATAAACACGATTGCTGTATTTGCGCCTTAGATTTGAATGTCACCTTGTTTCTCTCTCTCTTTTTTCTTTCTTTTTTTATTTTTGAGAGTTTTGCTCTTGTTGCCCAGGCTGGAGCGCAATGGCTCAATCTCGGCTTACTGCAATCTCCGCCTCCTGGGTTCATGCGATTCTCCTGCCTTCAATCTCCCGAGTAGCTGGATTACAGGCATGCATCACCATGCCTGGCTAAGTTTTTCTGTTTTTTAGTAGAGACAGGGTTTCCCCATCTTGGCCAGGTTGGTCTTGAAACTCCAGACCTCAGGTGATCCACCTGACTCAGCCTCCCAAGGTGTGGGGATTATGGGCTTGAGCCACCGCACCTGGTCATCTTTATAATTTACAGTGTTAAAAATACAGGGCTGGGTTTGGGAATGAGCAAGTGGACATATTTTCTTTCTTTCTTTCTTTTTTTTTTTTTTTGAGACAGAGTTTTGCTCTTGTTACCCAGGCAGGAGTGCAATGGCGCGATCTCGGCTCATCGCAACCTCCGCCTCCTGGGTTCAGGCAATTCTCCTGCCTCAGTCCTCCTGAGTAGCTGGGATTACAGGCACGTGCCACCATGCCCAGCTAATTTTTTGTATTTTTAGTAGAGACGGGGTTTCACTATGTTGACCGGGATGGTCTCGATCTCTCGACCTCGTGATCCACCCGCCTCGGCCTCCCAAAGTGCTGGGATTACAGGCTTGAGCCACCGCGCCCGGCTCTTTTTTTTTTTTGAGACGGAGTTTCACTCGTTACCCAGGCTGGAGTGCAATGGCGCGATCTCTGCTCACCGCAACCTCCGCCTCCCGGGTTCAGGCAATTCTCCTGCCTCAGCCTCCTGAGTAGCTGGGATTACAGGCACACGCCACCATGCCCAGCTAATTTTTTGTATTTTTAGTAGAGACGGGGTTTCACCACATTGACCAGGATGGTCTTGATCTTTTGAGCTCGTGATCCACCCGCCTCGGTCTCCCAAAGTGCTGGGATTACAGGCGTGAGCCACTGCGCCAGCCCCTATTTTTAATTTTAGAGACACAATCTCACTCTGTCGCCCAGGCTGGAGTGTAGTGGTGCAATCTCGGCTCACTGCAATCACTGCCTCCCGGGTTCAAGAGATTCTCTTGCATCAACCTGCCCAGAAGCTGGGATTACAGGCTTGTGTCACACTTCTCGCTAATTTTTGTAATTTTTAGTAGAGATAAGGTTTTGCCATGTTGGCCAGGCTGCTATTGAACTCCTGATCTCAAGTGATCTGCCTGCCTTGACCTCCCAAAGTTCTGGGATTGCAGGCGAGAGCCACCACACCAGTCATGTCATTTAAACAATCATGCAGCAGGGCGCAGTGGCTCATGCCCGCAATCCCAGCACTTTGGGAGGCCGAGGCGGGTGGATCGCGAGGTCAAGAGATCGAGACCATCCTGGTCCACATGGTGAAACCCCATCTCTACTAAAAATACAAAAAATTAGCTGGGCCTGTAGTCCCAGCTACTCAGGAGGCTGAGGCAGGAGAATTGCCTGAACCCAGGAGGCGGAGGTTGCGGTGAGCTGAGATCGTGCCATTGCACTCCAGCCTGGGTAACGAGAGCGAAACTCTGTCTCAAAAAAAAAAAAAAAAAAAAAAAAAAAAAAAAAAAAAAGAGCCGGGCGCGGTGGCTCAAGCATGTAATCCCAGCACTTTGGGAGGCCGAGGCGGGTGGATCACGAGGTCGAGAGATCGAGACCATCCTGGTCCACATGGTGAAACCCCGTCTCTACTCAAAATACAAAAAATTAGCTGGGCATGGTGGCACGTGCCTGTAATCCCAGCTACTCGGGAGGCTGACGCAGGAGAATTGCCTGAACCCAGGAGGCGGAGGTTGCGGTGAGCGGAGATCGCGCCATTGCACTCCAGCCTGGGTAACAAGAGCGAAACTCCGTCTCAAAAAAAAAAAAAAAAAAAAAAAAAAAAAAGAAGGTGCTGCTTACTACTTAGAACGTGGGTTTGGGTTGTGGGGATTATCAAAGTACTTTGAATAGGACTCTCTCTTTGAAAGCATAGGACTCTCTTTTTAAATTTTTTTTTTTTTTTGAGACGTAGTTTCGCTCTTGTTACCCAGGCTGGAGTGCAACGGTGCGATCTCGGCTCACCGCAACCTCCGCCTCCTGGGTTCAGGCAATTCTCCTGCCTCAGCCTCCTGAGTAGCTGGGATTACAGGCACGTGCCACCACGCCCAGCTAATTTTTTTGAATTTTTAGTAGAGACGGGGTTTCACCATGTGGACCAGGATGGTCTCGATCTCTTGACCTCGTGATCCACCTGCCTCGGCCTCCCAAAGTGCTGGGATTACAGGCGTAAGCCACCGCGCCCGGCTCAGCAGTATATTTTAATAATTTGACAAAAGTTTTAGAGAAAATCGTCCTTTTATTTGTTCCCAACAGTGTCGCCTCTTCCTTCCTCCATGGATCTGCTTATTCAGGACAGCCCAGATTCTTCCACCAGTCCCAAAGGCAAACGACCCACTGCTGCAGAGATTAGCGCCACAGCAGCGGAAGACAAGGTCCCGGTCAGGAGACAGAAGACCAGAACTGTGTTCTCTTCCACCCAGCTGTGTGTACTCAATGACAGATTTCAGAGACAGAAATACCTCAGCCTTCAGCAGATGCAAGAACTTTCCAGCATCCTGAACCTCAGCTACAAACAGGTGGCTTGTTTTGTTCATCAATAAGATGAACAAAAATTAGTTTAATTTGCATGGCTAAGATCTCTGTGGATGCACATAGATGTCTGTGCTGTGTGTCAGCACATCCGCTCTTGCAATTAAGTATGAAGATGAAATGCTTTTGTAACTTTCTTCACCTCCTTATTTCATTAAATATCATGTGAATGTGACATAATGTAACCAATCTTTTCTTGCATCGACCAATATTGTGAAAATCCTATCAACATTTTCTTTTTTTTTTTGAGACAGAGTTTCGCTCTTGTTACCCAGGCTGGAGTGCAATGGCGCGATCTCGGCTCACCGCAACCTCCGCCTCCTGGGTTCAGGCAATTCTTCTGCCTCAGCCTCCCGAGTAGCTGGGATTACAGGCACGTGCCACCATGCCCAGCTAATGTTTTGTATTTTTAGTAGAGACGGGGTTTCACCATGTTGACCAGGATGGTCTCGATCTCTTGACCTCGTGATCCACCTGCCTCGGCCTCCCAAAGTGCTGGGATTACAGGCTTGAGCCACGGCGCCCGGCCTAACATTTTCTTTTTTTTTTGAGATGGAACCTCGCTCTTGTTGCCCAGGCTGGAGTGGAATGGCACAATCTCTGCTCACTGCAACCTCTGCTTCCTGTCTTCAAGCGATTCTCCTGCCTCAGCCTCCCAAGTAGCTGGGATTACAGGCACACGACACCACACCTAGCTAATTTTTTGTAGTTTTAGTGGAGACGGAATTCTCTATGTTGGCCAGGGTGGTCTTGAACTCCTGACCTCAGGCAATCCACCTGCCTCAGCCTCCCAAAGTGCTGGGATTACAGGTGTGAGCCACCGTGCCCGGCCCAATGTTTTCTTAATCAAAAAGAAGTATGAAACTCCACTTTTGAGGTTAGGAGAATCTGTACTCACACTGGTTCTCATTAAAATAATTTTTTTTTCTTTCTGCCAGCAACCTCCAGCTTGTTTTGTTTTTATCTGTGCGCATTTGCTTGTTAATAAGGCCAACCACTGTTCATTACTTACTGGTCATTTTCTTTTTTTTTTTTTTTTCTGAGACAGAGTCTCACTCTGTCACCCAGGCTGGAGTGCAATGGCACAATCTCAGCTCACTGCAACCTCCGCCTTCCAGGTTCAAGGGATTCTCTTTTCTCAGCCTCCTGAGTAGCTGGGATTACAGGCATGTGCCACCATGCCCAGCTAATTTTTATATTTTTAGTAGAGACGGGGTTTCAACATCTTGGCCAGGCTGGTCTTGAACTCCTGACCTTGTGATCCACCCGCCTCGGCCACCCAAAGTGCTGGGATTACAGGCGTGAGCCACCGCGCCGGGCCTGGTCATTTTCTTTCATTAATTGCCTTATCCTCTTCCAGGCTTTATTTCCTTTATTTCCTTCTCACAAGTGTCACCCCATTGCCCAAGTTGGAGTGCAGTGGTGTTATAATATGGCATAATGGGAAGTTGTAATGACATCAGTTCTACTTTGGCTGGTTTAAGTACAAATCAATGAAACCTGCACCTCCAGGTTCAAGGGATTCTCCTGCCTCAGACTCCCAAGTAGCTGGGATTACAGCCGTCCACCACTACACCTGGCGAATTTTTTTTTTTTTTGTATTATTAGTAGAAACGGCATCACCACGCTGGCCAGGATGGAGATCAAGCGATCCATCCTCCTCGGCCTCCCAAACCACTAGGATTACAACCATGAACCACCACGCCTGGCCCTAGCTAGCTAGCCTTTATTTATTTTTTTATTTTTTTATTTTTTTTTACTAGCCTTTATTTTCTATCCAAATGTTCTTTTTTTTTTTTTTTAGAACAGTCTTGCTCTGTCGTCCACGCTAGAGTGCAGTGGTGCAATGTCTGCTCACTGCAACATTTACTTCCTGGGTGCAAATGATCTCCCACCTCAACCTCCTGAGAAGCTGGGACCGCAGACATGCAGCATTACATCCAGCTAATTTTTTGTATTTTGGTAGAGACGGGTTTTCTTATGTTGGCCAGGCTGGCCTGAACTCTTGGGCTCAAGCAATCTGCTCACCTTGGCCTTCCAAAGTGTTAAGATTATAGGCCTGAGACATGGCGTTGGCAGGAATAAAAGGTAGCAGTATCCTTTTATTCAAAGTACTTCTGGGTTACTAATTTACAATTTCTGTCATTTTTTTTCCCTGCAGGTGAAGACCTGGTTCCAGAACCAGAGAATGAAATCTAAGAGGTGGCAGAAAAACAGCTGGCCAAGGAATACCAGTGATGCGAATCAGGTAACAGGAAACTTGATTCTGTTCTTTCCTTTCAGTGATCTTTCTCTTCTTTCTTTTTCTTTTTCTTTTTTTTTTTTTTGTTAAAGACGGGTTTTCACCATGTTGGTCAGGCTGGTCTTGAACTCCCGACCTCAGGTGATCCACCCGCCTTGACCTCCAAAGTGCTTGGATTAACAGGCGTGAGCCACCGCGCCCGGCCTTTCAGTGATCTTTCAATCTTGTCCATCCCTGAAACACACAGCTCCAGTCACAGACAGCTGTGTTTGTCTTCTACCCTTTCTGTTAATCCTTCCTTCTCTTTCAGAAGGCCTCAGCACCCACCTACCCCAGCCTCTACTCTTCCTACCACCAGGGATGCCTGGTGAACACAAATGGGAACTTTCCGGTCTGGAACAACCAGACTTGGAGCAATTCAACCTGGAGCAACCAGACCCGGAACATCCAGTCCTGGAGCAACCACTCCTGGAACACTCAGACCTGGTGCACCCAGTCCTGGAACACTCAGGCCTGGAGCAGTCCCTTCTATAACTGTGGAGAGGACCCTCTGCAGTCCTGCATGCAGTTCCAGCCAAATTCTCCTGCCAGTGACTTGGAGGCTGCCTTGGAAACTGCTGGGGAAAACCACAGTGTAATACAGCAGACCGCTAGGTATTTGAGTACTCCACAAACCATGGATGTATTCCTTAACTACTCCACGAACATGCAACCTGAAGATGTGTGAGGATGGATGAAACTGACATTACTCAGTTTCACTCTGGGCACTGGCTGAATCCTTCCTCTCCCCTTCCTCATAGGACTTTTCTTGTTTGGAAGCCACGTGTTCTGTTTACATTATGTCTATCCAGTCAATCTGAATGGAGGGTAGGGTATGGTTGGAGCCTAATCAGAGAGGTTTCTTTGTTTTTTCCTGTTGGATCTTCCTGGAGAAAAGATATTTTAATAACCTTGGCTACTAAGGACACCGTGATAGCAGCTGTCTCTGGCTATAGATAAGTAGATCTAATACTAGTCTGGGTATCTTTAGGGTTTAGAATCTAAATTCAAGAATAAGAAATAAAGTATAAACTGGTGTGGTGAAGGTATGTTCCTATTTTTGGGGACGGGGAGGCTTTACTTATTTTTTTAAAACAGGTATGGCCGGGCACAGGGGCTCACACCTGTAATCCCAACAATTTGGGAGGTCGAGGCAGGCGGATCACCTGAGGTCAGCCTGGCCCACTTGGTGAAACTTAAAATTTTTAAGTCTGAGGTAAGGGGTTAAGCTGTAACATACTTTACTGATTTCCTCGCCCTTTTTGGCTCTGTTTTACTATATTCCCTGAATTGTTGGTAGGTTAATATTTGTAAAAAGAGGTCTTATATTTGCTGAATCATATAATGACATTAGTACTACTTTGGCTGGTTTAAGTACAAATGAATGAAACAACCATTTCTTCTTTAGTTGACATTACCCAGATTTCACCTAGTGTTTCAATGAGTAAAAATACAGTGTAAACATAAGTTTTTGTTACATTTTTGTTTGGGTGCAGGAAAAGATTAGCTGAGAAGGCTGCTGTCTTACAAGCAGCTTAGTGTGGGCGCCTACGCCTGTAGTCCCAGCTACTTGTGAGGCTGAGACAGGAGAATCGCTTGAACCAAGGAAGCGGAGGTTGCACTGAGCCAAGATCATGCCATTGCACTCCAGCCAGCGTAACAACAGCAAACTCTACTAAAAATAAATAAATCTGCCATTTTTTTTTTTCCAAAGGGCACTTCTGTGCTTTGTAGCTAGTCTACAAACATAATGGGTTATTTCACTATATGAATATAATTAAGGTTAACATTTAAAGTTTTCATCAGAGGCCAATATATAAGTTGAAATAGATCTATGTTCTCACCTTAAGAGCAGCTGTGCAGGCATCTATGAATTATAATCCTTAACCGTTCTTTTCACATCTTGTCCCTGCCCTAAATGCATCTGATCTGGGAGCACTTCACTCTGAAGCAGCATGATGCAGAGGATGACCAAAGGGGTTTTTTCGGCCAGGCGTGGTGGCTCATGCCTGTAATCCCAGCCTTTTGGGAGGCTGAGGCGGGTGGATCACGAGGTCAAGAGATCGAGACCATCCTGGTCAACATGGTGAAATCCCATCTCTGCTAAAAATACAAAACATTAGTGGGGCATGGTGGCACGTGCCTGTAATCCCAGCTACTCAGGAGGCTGAGGCAGGCGAATTGCCTGAACCCAGGAGGCGGAGGTTGCGGTGAGCCAAGATCGCGCCATTGCACTCCAGCCTGGGTAACAAGAGTGAAACTCCGTCTCAAAACAACAACAACAACAAAAAAGGGTTCTTTCCAGTCTTCTTGTTCATTATTTCCCCAGATGTCCAGTGTCACTCTCTAAGCCTGTCCAATCTAATTGTCTAGATGCTGGCCAAAAGAAGTTAGGGATAGTTGCAAGTGTGTATGTATATATTATTTGATTTGATTTTAGTCCACTCTATTGTCCAGGCTGGAGTGCACTGGCATAACTTTTTTTTTTTTTTTGGAGACAGTTTCGCTCTTGTTACCCAGGCTGGAGTGCAATGGCGCGATCTCGGCTCACCGCAACCTCTGCCTCCTGGGTTCAGGCAATTCTCCTGTCTCAGCCTCCTGAGTAGCTGGGATTACAGGTACGCGCCACCATGTCCAGCTAACTTTTTTTAGTTTTAGTAGAGACGGGGTTTTACCATGTTGACCAGGATGGTCTCGATCTCTTGACCTCATGATCCACCGCGCCCGGCCCCTTTTTGTTTTTTTGAAATGACAGCCTTTTTAAATTTTATTTTTTTATAAAAAAAAGACAGGGTTTCACCATGTTGGTCAGGCTGGTCTTGAACTCCCGATCTGAGGTGATCTGCCCGCCTTGGCCTCCAAAGTTCTTGAATTGCAGGCGTGAGCCACCACGCCCGGCCGATTTTTTGTCTCACTGTCGTACAGCATGGAGTGCACTGGGGCAATCTGGGCTCATTGCAACCTCCACCTCCCCAGTTCAAGTAATTGTTTTCCTGCCTCAGCCTCTCTAGTAGCTGGGATTACAGGCGTGCACCGCCATGCCCAGTTAACTTCTGTATTTGTAGTAGAGACGGGCATTTGCCATGTTGGCCGGGCTGGTCTGGAACTCCTTACCCACCTGCCTTGGCCTCTCAAAGTGCTGGGATTACAGGCATCAGCCAGTGCAGCTGGCCTTTTTTTTTTTTTTCTTTTTCTTTTTTCTTTTCTTTTTGAGATGACTCTTGCTTTGTCCCCGTGCTAGGATTACATGAATGAGACAGTGTCCAGCCAGGATTTTTACTTTTTTAAAGATGGTGTGTCGCCGGGCTCGGTGGCTCAAGCCTGTAATCCCAGCACTTTGGGAGACCGAGGCAGGTGGATCACAAGGTCAAGAGATTGAGACCATCCTGGTCAACATGGTGAAACCCCGCATCAGCCTTTCAAGTAGCTAGGATTACAGGCATGCACCACCATGCCCGGCTAATTTTTTTGTATTTAGTAAAGATGGGGTTTAACCATATTGGTCAGGCTGGTCTGGAACTAACCTAAGGTGATCTCCCTGCCTCGGCCTCCCAAAATGCTGGGATTACAGGCTTGAGCCACTACACCTGGCTGTCACTAATGTTTCAAGAAAATTACTGGTTCGTGACCCTTCGATGTTCAATTTGATTTTTCATTTGTTCATTAATTTGCTTTGGGAAATTAACCACTAATGCAAATATGACTTGCTTTCTATACCCAATAGGTGAATATTAAATTTAAGGTGAAGACCAAGGGGAAGGCCCTGGGGGCTGAGGCAGGAGAATAGCTTGAACCCAGTAGGTGGAGGCTGCAGTGAACTAAAATCGCACCACTGCATTCCAGCCTGGGCAACACAGTGAGACTGTTTAAAAGAATTAGACAGCCGGGCGCAGTGGCTCATGCCTGTAATCCCAGCACTTTGGGAGGCTGAGGTGGGTGGATCACCCGAGGTTGGGAGTTCTAGACCACCCTGAGCAACATGGAGAAACCTCGTTTCTACTAAAAATACGCACACAAAAAAAGTAGCTGGTGTTGGTGGTGGTACACGCCTGTAATCCCGGCTACTTGGGAGGCTGAGGCAGGAGAATTACTTGAACCTGGGAGGTGGAGGTTGCAGTGAGCCGATATTATGCCAGCGCACTCCAACCTTGGCAAAAAAAGCGAAACTCCATCTTTTTTCTGAAGAATATACCAAGTAAGCAAAACTCCATCTCAAAGTATTTTCTGGCCACTGCTCCTGTCTAGCTGATATTGTGGCCAAAACCTTTAAAGAAAAAAATACGGCCGGGCGCGCTGGCTCAAGCCTGTAATCCCAGCACTTTGGTAGGCCGAGGCAGGTGGATCACGAGGTTGAGAGATCGAGACCATCCTGGTCAACATAGTGAAACTCCGTCTCTACTAAAAATACAAAAAACTAGCTGGGCGTGGTGGCGTGTGCCTGTAATCCCAGCTACTCAGGAGGCTGAGGCAGGAGAATTGCCTGAGCCCAGGAGGCGGAGGTTGCAGTGAGCCGAGATCGCGCCATTGCACTCCAGCCTGGGTAACAAGAGCAAAACTCCATCTCAAAAAAAAAAAAGAAAAAAGAAAAAAAAAGAAAAAAATACATATCAATACAAAAATCAGTCGGACATGGTGTCCCATGCCTGTAATCCCAGCTACTTGGAGACTGAGGCAGGAGAATCGCTTGAACCCACGAGGAGAAGGTTGCAGTAAACTGAGATGTCACCCCACTCCAACCTGGGCCATAGAGCAAGACATTGTCTCAGAATAAAATGAAAAGAAACACAGTAAGAGGAGGTCATGCAAAAACAATAGTATAAATGGATGTGCCGGGCCCTCCTTTTCACATCTCTTCCTTTCCCTTAGGAAATTTTGCTTTGGTTCTTTTCCCAAAAGGAGGTGTGTGTTCCTTCCAACATTATATTTTAGCAACTTTACCATATTTTGGTTTTAAAAATTCATTTTCTTGATTTTTCAGCTTCCATTTCCATTTCAGTTTCTATCTGACAGAAGCATTGATGACATTTGCTTGGGTTTTCTGAATTTCATAATATAAATTCAAAGCTCAGAAGTGGGAGGAATACAGACCTTGATTAGTGAATTTCAGGCACCCAGTTCTCGGGGTGAAGGACAAGGTTAATTCTACTCTAAATAATCCTACCATTCAGAAAACCTGGTGTGTCTACAGGTAAAAAAAACAGGCTGTGACTACAAACCGAAAAGTAAAGCAAACAGCCGCCAGACAGGCAGGAAAACCGGGGAGGCCCTTGGTAAATACTGCATGCCTCCTGGGGCCCCCAGGGGCTTTGACTCAGGGAGGAGAGGAAGGGAATTTGTTAAAGAAAGAAGACAACTGGCGCAGACAAAAGCTTCTGGCACAGGAAGTTAGTTCGACTAAGGCTACAGAAATGGAGGAATTTGAACGGGTTCCGGGGTGTGAGGTTGAAGGGAAACCTGATTGAAAAGAAGCTGCTGGTGGTGAGTGTCCTTAAGCTGTTCCTGCCTTCTGGGTAGGTGGTGTAAGCTCAGGTACCCAAAGAAAATGTCCCTGAGAATTTTAAAAGGTTAAGCACCTGGGAAATTGCTTCAATGCAGTGGTAGCACTACCTCCGAGGATACTGCCAAGCAAGTTATTACAAAACGGAAAAGCTCGCAGATTGCCGGGTGCGGTGGCTCAAGCCTGTAATC